GTCTAGTGGAAGGCATTCCTGCCCATGGCAGCTGGAGCCAGATGGTTTATTAAGATCCCTTCCGACCCAAACCATTCCACTGTTCTAAGAATTGCTGCTCTCCAGACACCTCTCTGGCACCAGTGCCAACAAACTGGAACACCAGCAGAGCCCTAGGCACTGTGCAGGTGTAGGTCCTACAGAAACGAGTGTTTACGCCCTTCCACTGATTGCGTGCTCATTAAAACCCAAGCAAACCAACTTGACAGCTGAAGGTTGTGGGCACACCTGTTACGAGGTGCGTGGGGGCGATTTTTGACCTTTGGGTGCCTTTGCAGGAGGAGGAAAGTGGGCACCACACGTGAGCATTCCAATGCACTGCATTGCTCTCAGGCTGTTTGCTGTCGCCTGCCCTGCCTGCGAGCAGCGATTGATTTCCCTCCCACGTGGCACAGTGCCTAGGTATGTCTCCCAAAGGCCTTTGTTACTAGAGTGTTAACAATTAACCTGCTCAGGCAGAAATGGAGCCAGGCCTTCATAATCTAGGCTTAGTTAACTATTCAGCTGCTTATCGGAGAGCAATTTTTCTTCTGCTTAACTGGAAGGCGTTTGCTAACTCGTTTGGATAAGGCAAAGTGTGAAGGCAGTGGAGCTGTAGCCCAGGAGTCTATGAAAACTATGCTAAGAGGCAGTCGTGAAGGACTCACCCACCGCATGCAAGAGGAAGGAAATCTCACCTCAGGTTTTCTCCATTGGATGCAAAATTGTCACTGTGCACAAGGCATGGCTGCTCAGGGAAAGTCTGCATAACCCTGCAGTTGAGATGGAATGAGCAACTCATGCAATATGGAGAAGGGTGTGGAAGGAGAGGGAACTTGCTTGTACCCATGGACATGTGCTGTTGGGAAGATGCCTGCAAGCATCGATCCAGGCAGACAAAGAAACTCTTTTCAGCTTTTTTGAACACGCAGATGCTTGGAAGTGGGGAAATTAGATCAGGAATTGTTCTGGAATGGTTCGGTTCTCTTTGGTTTAGCTGTTGCCAAGGGGCTTTGGGGAGCCATGGGCAGAGCAAGGGCTGAGGGGTGGCTCTTAGGTGGCTGCAGCTGCAATGGGCATTGGGATGGTGGGATGGAACAGGTGTGCTCTCCAGGGCCCAGTAAGGACAAGAAGGCAGCCCTGGTGCTCCCAAGGTGATTCCTGCAGATCCACTTCCACCTTGCTTGCATGGCTTGGGGAATCTCTTCACCACCCAGCCATGCTAAGTGGGGACTTTCCTCTCCAAAACAGTGGTGATGCACTGGCACAGCTGCCCAGGGAGTGGTGGAGTCACCGACCCTGGAGGTGTTCCAGAACCGTGGAGATATGGCACTGAGGGACGTGGGCATGGTGGGGTGGGTTGGGGTTTGGATTTGGTGATCCTAGTGGTCTTCTCCAACTTTCATGATGCTTCTCATTCCTTCATCAACTAAAGAAAGAACTTGGGAGAAAAATGCTTTTCAAGGTTTGCTGCTTGGTTTGTGCCAAGGAGATCTGGGTTGTGCAGAGCTAACTGGGTTAAGGTAACCAATCAGTTTTCACAGGCTCCCCAGGGGCGGGTGAAAGTCAAAGCTCTTTGCAGAGAACAAAATAGAATAGCTTGGGAGGCCATGCTAGATGGGCTGTAGCCCTGCCAAAAAGCAGACGCTGGCCTGATGCTCCATCTTTAATTTGCTAATGCAGTGTAAGAACAGCTGCATCTCCAGAGAGCCAGCACAGCCCCAGTTCTGCATCAGCGTTACAGGTGCTGGAGGGCAGAGTGGGAATTTTCCAGTCCCGAGGTCCCACCATGGATGGAGCAGCAGGACAGATGTCTGCATTGTTTGCTACCTCATCTCGTCCGCCTCACGCTTTAATTAGGCTGGTTGTGTTTAATGAGGCTTCCTAGGGAGCACAGGACCATAAATCTAATGAAATCTGGGGGTTCGTAAATGCTGTGGCTGCTGTTGCAGAGTGTGCTGAGGTCCTTGGGGATGAGCACAGGGTGAAAAGCTCTGCAGGACCACGAAAGAAGAAATCAGACATGGAGGCAGCGAGCCACAGCCCCAGCTCAGCTCTGGCTGGTTCTTTCATTGGGAATTATCCATAAACCCAATTTTAGTTAGCATTCCCATGGCACCCATCCCTCACCCCAGCCATGCTCAAAACCTGATTTCACAGTTCAGTTAAGGGGTGAGCAAGGCAAAACCTGGCTAAGAATTGGTGCTGGCCAAAAGAAACAAAAGTTCCCCCCCCCCCCCCCAGAACCTCCCCCCTCTCCCCCCCAAAAAAATCCCTTTTTGGCAAAGAAAGCCTGTACTGCTGGGGATCTGTTGGCACTTCTGGAATCTCCTTGAAAACATATTTGAAATGCTTGCCCGTATGCTCTGGTTATCAGCTCCTGGGTTTACAGTAAACATAAGCTAATAGCCAGTTTTTTGGTTTTTTTTTTTTTTTTTCAGAATATTTTATTGGATTCTTTCCAGTTAAAAGGGAGGGGGGGAAAAAAGTCATGCAAAAAAAAGTTCCATTTGCAGAGACTGCCTCTGTGACACAGCTTTGATCCCACGCCATGAGACAGCAGCTGAAGCATCTGCCCTTGGGTCGCTGGGGCTGAACAGGAATGTCAGCACAATGTCTCAGTGTTGTAAGGATGTGATCCTAAGCGAAAGCCTCTTAATGTGAAAACCATTCCCTGGGATCCTTGGGGTCTCTGAGGGCTGAGAAAGGCTGTGATGAGGACCACTGATGGTGGAGCTGATAAGTCACCTTCCTCTATGGCGGCCTAAAGGTCACTGTCATCTCTCTGTCCAGTCCAAAGCTCCTTCCTGAGAGAAGAACATTTCTCTTTTCTAGCTCACACTGCTTGCTTTTGTGCTGGCTTCTCTGTTTCGTTTTATAGAATCAGACTTTCCAATGATCTCATCCTGCCCTCAGAATCACAGCACGGTTTGGGTTGGAAGGGATCTTAAAGCCCAACCAGTTCCAACCCCTGCCATGAGCAGGGCCACCTCCTACCAGACCAGGAGCTCCATCCTGACCTTGAGCCACATCCATGGACAGAGCAGAAATCAGCACAAGTGTGTAAACGTAAATGTGTTCTGTTATAAATAACTGCCTCTCGTAGCAATCTCTCTGATTGCAGTGTTGGATGGAGATACTAAGAATCCATCAGGGGATCACGCAGAAAGCATCAGTGCCAGACCAGTGTTGCAGGGTGGATTTTGGATGTCCTTTCAGGATGGAGAAGGTTACACCACCAGCCGCATCCTGTTATGGACAGGTGGACACATCTGGTGTGTCTCAGCTCACAGAGGCTCCTTCAGGTCCACTCAGGACTCGAGCTTGGCTTTCCTACCCACCTGGCACAACTTTTTCTCCCTTCCCTATTTTGGCCCAGAGGGGCTCTGCATCATTTCCCTTCAGCACCATGGTGCCAGCCCCACCTTACTCAGACCACATTTCATGGCAGTTTTCTTTAAGGTCAGGGCTCTGGAGAAATAGAGGAAGCTACAAGCAGTAACCCTGAAGGAAGTCTGTAGAAATGCAATGACAAGCAGCACAGACTCATGATTTTTTCCATTATTAGTACAAGTTTCCCATTATTAGTATAAATACCAATATTACATCAGAGCTGAGCTCTACAGCTAAGTAAGCTCTCCAAAGAAATAAGCTCAGCTCTTCTGCTGGAGCTGGGGAAGAGCTGACTTAACAACTCCACCTCAAAAAGAAGGAAAACCCCACTGAAATACCCTCCTGATCTCCCTTTCCTGCCAGCTCTGTCTAAGCCTCCCTATCACCAATGTTCTATCCAAAGGGCAATACTTTCTCAGTGTCTTTTTTATCCAGAGGGAAACCTGCATCCCCCACTGCTCCTAAGTCTTGCTTTAGTACCCATCCTGGCAGGATGATTCACCTTGGAAATTCTGAAATTGAGAGCTTGAAGGCTTGGTTCAGCTGTGCCCAGTGTGAATTGAAACACCTGAAGGCATCAGAGACCTCTGCAAGAGCTGGTAGATAAAAGATGGGACTCCAGATAGACCAAAGCTCTTCTGGAGCAGCACTGGGAAGAGCATGCAGACCCTACAAGGCAACTTAGAAATGAGAAGTGTATTGGTTTTCACAAAATATAGAGACTGTAGGATTCATTACAATCATCCAAACTTAGCAATGTGACTTCTCCCTCCCCTTGCAACGTATCAGGTAACAGGATCCTGCATCAAAGGTACAGTGTACTAAGATTTGGTGTCAGATTCTTCATTATCTAATAAGGCAATCAAAAAAGGTTTGTTGTGAGCCTTTATTTCTTGAAATGGGATAAGACCCAATGCAGAGTAGATCCTGAAGGCTGGGTGCAAGAGTGCACGGACAGCTTTATTTTCAGAAGGGATTTTCAAGAAGAGGCCTGAATTTTTTTGGAAGTGATAAATTGTATTCCTACAAGGAATACAATTGGGCATCAATAGCTCTAGACCTTGACCCCCTCAGTTGTTAGCAAGTTCAACACTAATGTAACCACCACTATTTGGGGAATTTCCCTAAAACGCAGATGTTTCAGGTGTTTCCCCAAAACGCTGATGTTCATAGAGCTTGGATGTTTTTGAAGCCAGGGCTGAAATCACAGGGCTGGGGTTTCAAGTGGTGATAGAGCTTGGGGACAGTATCCAGTCGTGTGAAGGCTGGTTCCAATGGAAGAGGAAAAGAAATAGGTGTTATGGGACTGCAACCAGGTCAAAACAACCATTTATCAGCATGTTGTTTCCCTTGTTTTGGTCAGCCCAAGGCACAGACTGAGCGCTGCTCCTCCTAGGAGGGTTGAAGGTCACAGAGAGGAGGGCAGCCCCATCATCTGCTGCATGCCACACGTTGAGCTGTGACAGCTCCTGCCCTTGTGCCACCCAGCCCATGGATCTGCTCATCTCTGCATGATGCCGATCTACAAAAGGGTATGGAAGCAAAAAGGCATCTCTTTAAAATTCCTTCACTTTTCCTCCTTCTTCCAGTGCCACTGACCTGTGCCTCCACCTCACCTGTGAGCTGCCATGGCCACGCTAGAGACGCTGCCAGTTCTTAGTGACCCAACGTACCCCAATCCAGAGAACTTCCACGGGTTTGCTCCTCGGCCATCCCAAAACACCTCCCGGAGCATCATGGGGAGCGTGGGGAGCGGAGTGGCCAACGACCAGGAGTTTGCCATGAAGAGCGTGGGGACCAGAACGCAGAGCAGCGGCCGGCAGATGGAGGGGTCACGCAATGGGTTCTCCACAAGGGAGATCTCCAACCGCTACTCCGGCGAGGAGAAGACGTACAAGTCAGAGAAGGTCTCCAATTCCCTCTACATCAACGGCGACCTGCGTAAGAGTGAGAAGGTGAAGATGGACATCTGTGGGAATGTGACCACCAACAACGAGAAGAACATGCCACCTCCTCCCCAGTACCGAGAGCCCAGTAACCCACCAAAGATATTGCCAATCTCCGGCAAACTAGACCAGGTGAGAACTCCTGCCTCCTGGAGCAGTGTGGTGGTTGTGGCTTGGCTCTAAAAGCACAACCCAGGCAATGGAGTAATCCTGACAATTAGTCTTAATTCTTACTATGTAGATGGCACAGTTTTTATTTACAGTTAATGCAATACTACTTTCGTGGGGCTGAGCAAAGGAGAATGCTAGTTCTGGAGGGATCCAAGAGCATGATAACAACTCTTTCACAGCTAAGCTTCCAGTTCTTTGAATTATTTAACCCACCTCAGTTACTGTGCCTATCTCTCCTACTGACAGAAGAGAGAGCCGGAGCTGCTTTTCTTTCCAGTCAGCCCAGCATGTCATATTCTTATTTTGGGGCCATTTACAAGCCATCTTCTACAGCCCACTGCTGAAGGTCTTACTTACTTCACTCAAGTAAGACCACAGAAAGGTCTTACTTGAATGAAGCTGTGTGTATCTGTTCAAAATCCTAGTGCTCCTGGTGAGGGGCAATCTGATGAGGCTTGTAAACTACCTCTGCAGACATTATTCCCTGTCCAAGCACAGTCCTCATGGCTCATATCAGCTTAGAGGATGCCCAGAGCCCAGATGTTTTATGCAGCCTGCTGCTCTGCTCCAGCAGATCCTATAATTTGTGTCCTGGGGAGGCTGCCAGAAGCAGTGTCGTTTCTGCAGCATTTGGTGGCCTTGTCTCGTGGGCCATTAACCTGATGCCTCCCATAGTCCATCTCAATCCCACGTGACAGATGCCAGATTTTTGGTCTCCAGCCTTGCCTGCTCACCAGGACTCATTTTGTTTCTTCTGCAAGGCATTTTCAAATACGAGGCTGGTTCCTCTGGGCTAATTTTCACCTGCAGCCCAACCCACAGTAGGGGAGACTCAATCCTATTTTGAGGAAAATTTTATTTCTGTAGGTGCACTCATGGGGAGAGGAATGTGCAAGACTTCAGAGGTTCTAAAATCCTCTGTAAATCCTTTGCAGCTGCAATCCATTTTCCCTCCAGCGTTGTGTCTGCTCACAGGAAACAAAAAAATTAAATCAGGAGCAGCTTTAGCATGTTACTTGCCCAGCATCACTATGATGGGGCTGTAGATCCCACCTGCTCCTGCCCAGTGCATGAAGGATATGATATCCATGTAGAGGAGAGCTGACTGCCATGTGCTTCTAGAGCAGGACAGCTGCTCATCCATGGGGTTAATTCAGTTTTCAGCAGAAGAAAAATGCACCCTCCAATCTAGGTGTCCTTCAGAATGTAATCTTCTAAAATCGAAGTTGTTTTGATCAGGTCTGGTAAGCAGGTGGCAGCTGTTCTTTTAGCAAAGAGCAATCAATGGTAAGAGGACCAATGGGGTATTCTGGGAAAAAAACGTGCAGATTTGGGACAGGTTCAAGCTCTTTTGTCACTCGGGCCAAGGAAGATGAAGTGTTAATTTATGAGTGGCCGACTCTTCTCGGGTTTCACATGTTAAATCCCAAATGACCCGGGGTGTGTTAAAGCTGAGAAATGTTGAACCAGCTAGCTGGAGTGGCCTCAGCTCCACCAGACTCAGCCTGTGTTGATGTATCTCTTGTGTGTGTCATTATCAAGCGTCCTGCTGTCTTTGATGCGTGATCCTTTTTCCTTTTGCAGAGCAATGAGCCCTTAGTTAGACCCTCAGCCTTTAAACCAGTAGTTCCTAAAAACTTCCATTCCATGCAGAACCTCTGCCCGCCGCAGAGCAACGGGGTGACAGAGAACAGAAAGAGCTTGAACCACGCCAACAGCAATAGCCCATCCGCACCCAAAAGTGGACTCGACAAGAGCAGCCTTAACAGGACTACAAACCAAGTGGGAGGCCTTTCGGATTCGGGCCGTAACTCGTTAACGAGTCTGCCCACGTATGGGACAGGCTACAGCCAGCACGTGGGCCCCATGAGCGCCTCGACCAGCCACATCAACCGCATCGGCACGACCTACACGGACAAGAACATCGTGGGGTACAACGGGATATCTACCTCAGACAGCGGCCGCTCCTCGAGCAAGAGCACCTCTTCGTTCAACAGACTGAACCATCTCAACGAAACGATGCCTTTCCACTCTCCTTCCACCGACGACATCATCCAAGACTTGGAAGACAGGCTGTGGGAGAAGGAGCAGGAGGTGCTCCAGATGAGAAGAAACTTGGACAAGAGCGAGGCAGCCATCTTCCAAGTGTTCGAGGAGAAGCAGAAGATCTGGGAGCGGGAAATGGAGGATCTCAGGCAAAACTACGCCAACAAATTGCAGCAGGTCTCCAAAAAGGCGCAGCGGGCGCAACAGGCCTTGCAGCTCCAGATATTCAAGCTGCAGCAGGAGAAAAAAAAACTCCAGGATGACATGGGGCAACTCCTGCAGCAGCGAGAGGAGCTGGAGAAGAAATTTGTGGCTTTCAAGAAGGAGCAGGCTGAGTTCCTCCCGAAGATTGAAGAGACCAAATGGGAGGTAAGAGTGGTGTTGTAAGAAATCTTGAATGAGGCTTTCATCGATAACCCAAAGTACCTGCATTGGTCCCATGAGCAGCCCAAGACAAGGGCTGTGGGTGAGTGGCCTGTAGATAACAGGAGACACTTTGGCCACCTCTCCGTGTCTGAGCTTCAAACCTACAGTTTTCAATTAAAATAAAATGAGTGCAATAATTTTTTTGTGTGCACGTCCTGTGCTGGCTAATAATTAGGTTTCACAGTCAGGTCACTGCAATGTGGGAGATTTGAATCCAGTTTGAGTGAATAAAGATTTCTCCATACAGGTATTTGTGCCTCCCAAAATTGAGTTTAAGCCTATTTTAATTAAATTCTTCTAACACCTGCGTTTGGGCAAAGCTTGAAATGGCTTTTCAAATAAATATTTGATTTCTGTTCTTGTTGAAGATCTAAAGCAAATGAGCTAAGGATGATACCTGTAGCCAAGTCTACCTCATGCTTTCCATCGCAGTGCCCTGTTTTCGGTTGCTAATAAGTTGATCTCGTTCAAAAGGCTGAAAGGCAAATTCCTCTTTACGTATTTTTTACTTCTGCTTTTATTTTTAGAACATTTTATCAAAACCCATTTGAATAGCCAGTGCTAACACAGTTTTGGTGGGGTTTTTTTTCAGCTTGATCGTGTAAAGAATTTTAATCCTTCCATGGACTGGCTAGAAACTTGAAATTCATTAAGGCTGCAGTGGGGAGGAAAAAAAGAAAAAAAAGTAGCTCTAGAATCATGAAGGCCCTATTCTGCTAATCCTGATGGAAAGTCAGTGGAAGTGGGATTAATTAGGGCTCTGCAACACACTGTTTGGAGATATTCAGCAGAGCTTATTAGAGGCTTGCTCTAAAATTTCTGCAAGTTACATGCAGGACAAGCAGGGCTGCCTTGTCCAACATGATGCCTCCTTTGACCAGGTGCTCTGCCCAGGTTTTGTGTGTCTTCCATTAAGTTAGGTCTGGAAAGCTTCCTGATTCTGCACTGGTAAAACCACCAAATGATTTTTGATTATTTACTGCTCTAGTTCAGTCTGCAGCAGCTAATCCAGTGATAGAGATGCAAAGAGATGCGATTCAGCTGATGGATCTTGACACCTAAAATTTGTAGACACCTATTCTCATTGACTGAGATACACTCCAGACTCCACAGACTGTATTGCCTAAATTTCCCCAGCACGTAACTAAAGACCAAAATTTAAGTGTTTTAATCTGTTAGTTGCTTCTTATCCAAGCTGTTCTTCATCACGTATTTCTCTGCCTTTTGGGAAAAGCTAGCCCACGGAGAGCACTTCCAGTAAACCCACGATTGGGATTGTGCACTTTTTTAGCTGAGCATTAACTGTGTCACTGTAACTACGGCTAAACCAGCGTGATGTTGTTCTGCATCTGCTGCAGAGAAACACTGGGGTGGATGTGAGTACTCAGATTTATGTCTTTGAGCTCCAGAAAAAGCTGGTATCTGCAGGAACTGACTGTGGGTATGTATCCTAGCTCTTCAGCTGCTGACAATGGGCCGTCCGGATTGCTAAGCTTAAAGGCTTTGCTCAGTATTATGCACCAGAGTAGTTTTCTACAGCTGAGAAAAACTGAGGTTGCAATGAAGGCAGTGGAGGAGCATCCTTCCCAACAGGAAGGGTTCTTGCAGATGCTGATAAATGGAGAAAAGGACAAATATGTCACGTGTGACAAGAGACAGGGGCTTCAGGAAGGCAGGACATCAAGTCCTGGAGGTGGCTACAAAGTCTGTTTTTAATTATGTTCATCCTCTCTGATCACTGCTAGTCCCTTTGTGCTGCTTCCCTGCCCAGGTTCCTGCCAGTGCAGATTTTCTCTGCAGTCGTCCAGAGATAGATCTGCTAATACAAAGACATGGAAACCCCCAAGTCCATGGGAAAATAAGGGTTTGGTCATTTTTATAGATCCCTTTCAACACTTTTGTGGACATTTGCTGGATTAAGCAGAACTAGAGATGTGTCATGTAATAACTGTGCCACCTACACAGCACATACACCGCAGCAGGGGTATTTCCACTAGGTGTTTGCATGGGACTTCTGTTCCTAACCACATGGATGAGACTGGAGGCAGTCAGGATGAAACCTGTGCTTGATAGCCCCCGTTCAGCAAGAGTGAGCTGCATCTCTCACCTTGATCTTTAGCAGAGAGGGCTGTCACTCTTCATGCACTAACCCAAAGGAATTAAATAGCTACCAGTCCCTGGACTGCCCCCAGTGCATTGAACACTAAAAGTCAACTGGGTTCTTTAGGAACCTTTGGGAAGGAGAGCATCATACAGCAAATAGCTAACATCCACTGTCTCTGCATCCTGTCTACATCCTCAGTGTTTGGGGAGAGCCTGGCTGCTCTCTGGTTCTGAGATGTTTCCATCTCAGGCTTGCTCAAGGTCCAGCACCCGTTGAGGTCAGTGGGATAACTCGTGCAGAGGGTTTAAGGTCAGGCACCACAAGCTTGTGGTTACGTGTGGAATGTGAATGGAGGGAAACACTGGTGTCAGCTCACTGCGGACCACAGTGCTTAGCTTAGCTTTTTGGTTAACTCTGGGAACACCATCAAATCCCTGAGAGCCAAATGTCCCCCACTGCTACAGAAACAACCTGTAAGTCCTGTAGGATAAGCAAAGGTGGTGCCTTCTTGCTGCCTTCCCCCTGCCTCATGAAAGCTCTCCCCACAGGTGTGCCAGAAGGCGGGTGAGATCTCCCTGCTTAAGCAGCAACTGAAGGATTCCCAAGCGGACGTCTCCCAGAAGCTGAACGAGATTGTGGGGCTGCGGACACAGCTCAAGGAAGGTAAGAACTTCCTCCGGGAGAAGGAGGAACAAATCCTCACCTTGAAGGACTCCTACAGCTCCAAGAGCGTCAACCTGGAGATCTGCGAGAGCGAGCTGCAGCGGAAGATGAGCGAGGTCCAGGTGCTGAGGGAAAAACTGAACCACTGTGAGCTGGAGGTCTCAGGACTGAAGCGGACACTTGCCAGCATGGGACCTCCGGGGCCTTTTGGTGGGGACCTGGCTGAGAAGCTGCAGGACCCGCTGGCCTGTGAAAGCGACGAGGCCAAGATGCAGAGGCAGAGCAGCGAGGACAGCGTCAACGCGCTGCGGAAGGAGGTGGAGAGGCTGCAGACGGAGCTGAAGCTGGAGCGGCAGCAAAGGGAGCAGCAGGTGATGGACTTCGAGGAGGAACGGCGCACGTGGCAAGAAGAGAAGGAGAAAGTCATCAAGTACCAGAAGCAGCTGCAGCTGAACTACGTGGAGATGTACCAGAAGAACCAACTCTTGGAGCACAAGGTGAACGAGATGAACACAAAGACCACCAGCCCGCCGCACACCGAGGAGAAAAAAACGTGGACTCCTTCCAGGCTGGAGCGAATAGAGTCCACTGAGATCTGAGGTGGGACCAGGACAATACCCGTGATTCTTTTTATTGCTGTGCATGTACTACCTGCTCAAGCCAGTGGTCCTCTGAAGGATAACACAATACCGTAGGAGCGGTGTGAGGTGGCTTGCACTGAGCTCCATCACCCTTACTCTATTCTTCTGTGCTCTGTAGGTAAATAACCGTGGACGTGCGTTGTTTTTCTATGATGAAGCGACATCTCTTTGTTTGTTTTTTTTTCCTAGTACAGCTGGTGAGGGTCAATTGGCTCATTTGTAATCTGCCGTGACTGTTACTTCACTAGAGGCTGCCATCCCCTCTCCTACAATTCACCCCTCTTTGGTTGGTTGTTTTGGAGGGTTGTACTTGGTTTCTTTGGTTTTCCAAGCACTTCTGTGCAGCAAAGCAGTGCAAATTTGGCAGGTTTTTTTTTTTATTTTTTTTTTTCTAGGGCATTTTTAGCCACATTGGCTAACGAAGCAAAGCTCTTGGGATCACGAGCAAACTCACTGTTTTGCATCAAGTATCTTGTCTAGACAACGGTCTTAGTGAAGTCAGTGGGAGAATGGCCACTGATTTCAGTGAAACCAGACATATCTCCAGCAGATGACTCTCTCTTGCAGCCCATGGCTAGCATGGTTGCAAGAGGTTAGGACCTACTTGTGAAGCAGTGTGAGCTAGTCCTGGTAACATAAGCCAACAAGGAGTGGCTACCCAGTAGGAGCCTTGTTTGAGACTCAACAGAGCTTGGTACATGCTGTGTTTTCATTTTGTTGTGGTTTCTGTTTCATTTCCACTTGCCTCCTGGGTTGTGACCTAATCCTGGGAGCATAAATACCCTCCCACCTCTGCCTTGATCCCTCTGTTCTTAAATATATTCATGCTGGATACAGAAAAGAAAAAAAAAAATATTAGATCCAAGCTAGTTCCCTTTCTCCAGAGTCCTCTGAATTCCCACAGTCAATGGAACAAGGTTTGGGGAACCCCCAAACCTGTGGGTTGTTTATGCAAACAGAAGCTTTAGCAATTTCCCAATAGTGGACAATTGTACTAACCCGTTCCCAAAAGAGAGACAGTTTGGTGCATTCTCTCTGCCCAGGGTCTATTTACAAATGGCATCCAAGCCTCACTCAGGAGCTGCAGGGAGCACATATCAGCACTACCACTAGATTGCAGTGAGGGAAGTGAGCATCAGCCTTCAGCACAACCATTTGGAATAGTGCCCATCGTGATCCCAAATGGCATCATCTATTCCAGATAATGCAGGGCCAGCTTAACAAAATTGTCAGCTACTAACTCTGAGTATGAGAGCATTCATAAGAAGACACAGTACACAGATCATACAAGTGCTTATGCCCTGGCAGAATAATAACCAAATCCTACATGTGCACTCACTGAAAATGATGCAGACACCAAAACACAGCATTTCACTTTAAAAGGTGGGCAAAATGCTCCCTTTCACGGACACTTTTCTACCATGATCTACAGCAAAGAATAAAAAGTGCTGTAAAGTGGGATTTGTACTGACTAGGCAGTGGCCAAAGGATCAATGCAAGTGGAAATTTAGGCTCTTTTCTTTAAGGAGCAGCTAGAAGAACAAAGGCAGAATTTATACCTTGGGATGCCTGTATGAGGTGACTTCAGGGAGGGTTTGGCCTGATGATGCCTGCACAATAAGGAAGAACCTCAGAGTGTTGAGAGGCTGAAGACCTTTCAAACAAAAGTCCAGAAGCCACTTTCCTTCCACATTCCCTTCCCTCTGAGCACTCCCCTCTCTGTCACCAGATCTGACATTCATGCTGGGGTGATGTGGTGTTATGGTGAGCTCCAGACTGAGCAAAGAGGCTGAGCAGGACAGAAGGGACTCCACCAATTTCACCAACCTCCAGCCAAAGTCAACAGACAGTGTTACAGGGAGGAACTGCTAGTAGCTGGCAGTGATCCCTGGAGCTGTAAAAAAAATGGAGATGTGCAATGAGACCAGGGTATTTCAAGACTCCAGTCCTCCAGCAAGGACCTGGCAGAAGGTCATTGGCACAGAACTGCTTCAACCTGCTGGAATCAATGGAGCAGGTCCTTGGTTCCCACGCCAGCCCTCCTCTTTGCTTTGGTGTTTCAGAGGCTGCAGCCTGAGCCAGAGGCTCTAAAGACATCCTACGTATGCTGCATACACCCTTAGCAGGTAGATCCTTGGGCTTCCTCCATTTCATACACTGGGCTTTGTAGATGGAGCAGAACACCCCACAATGTCAGGGTTGAAGTTATGATGTCTTGTGTTATCTCAGCTTTCTGTGCCTCTCTTTCCACATCTGTATCGTCTTCCATCCCAAAGCAGCTGACAGGGCCTTGTGCTTGTGAAGGGTTTTGCAGTCCTTGGACATAAAGGGCAAAGCATGGAGGAAATGTAAGAAATGCAAGAAGTTTCAAGTCTCAAATGCCTGTCTCTTGATGATTTTGAAGCCACCACACAAAAAGGAAACAGTCCATCAACACAAAGTACCCTGGCCATAAGATGGGTCCAATGATCTATTTCATTGTTGGGTCATTGTTCTTCACAGCCCTGCTGAATTTGAGGTTGGTTTCCTATTAACCATTGCAAGAACCAGGCTTTCAGTCAGTGTCTCAAGAACTCCTACAGTGATTGAATTTTGAGTATCTGATGTTGAGGAGGTGTAAGTTACATTTCCCCACTGCATTAACATCCAAGAGGAACTGGCACCAGCATCATCCTGTGGGACACCTTCTCACCAGAGCTCCTCATTAGTCCAGGGGCAGGAAAAACAGGCTCCTCTGGCCTCCCCACGTACCTAAATCCCCCCAGCAGCAATCAGGCAAGCCCTCCAGTGTTCCAGGCTTGCTCTGTCATCTTTTTCCCAGATGTTTAGGGTTTGTTTTTTTGGTTTTTTTTGAGTTTTGGTTTTTTTTTTTGCAAGGATGAATGTGTCTTGACAGTCCCAGCGAAACCTGGAAGCAGCAGGGTTGTCTGATTGCTGCCCAGGTGCCAAAATAGTGTTTTGATGACATATCCGAAGAACAGCTAAGAAGAGTCACATCTTGTCCTCCTTTGAAATTCAGACAGGGTTGGTAAAAAGTTTCTGTCCTAGAGAGTTTGGGCTTGACCATATCCCAGGTACCCCATCCATCTTTGCTCATCCAGCTCTAGAGCTGATGGGAATCCACATGATGTACTCAGGTGTAATTCTTCAGGTTCTGGTATCGCCCTCAATATCTTGCATGTGATCAGTGTTTTTACTGAAGCAAGTTAGAGATAAATTGTTTTATAACTTGTCTCTAACAGTAAGAGCTTTGAGTCACAAGGGGCTCAGGTCAGTTGTCCACAGATAGGATTTAGAGCCACTAGAGATGGTCTGGGATACCTGATACATGGGGCAGGCCAACATTACCCAAGCCCTGTGGAAGAATGAGCCAGAGGTGGGAAGACCTGGAGCATTCCTAGTGGAATACCACCCATATGCAGGAAACTGAGTCATGCTGCATGCACACAGCTGTTATATGAACAAATGCAGGGCACTGATTAACTCCAGCAAATTCCACTTAGGCTGACCAGCTCTCCTGATGCAAGCAGAGGAGCAAGCAGCCCTTCTGACCAGTTCCTGGGAGTGACCAGTTCCTGGGAGTGAAGTTGATTTGCTCCACCATCACCGTGAGGCTGCTGTGATCCTGTTGCTACAAGGTGCCCACCCAACTAAGGTAGCACCCTTTGCACAGACAGCATTTCTTTCTCTCCCTGGCTGTGATGCTTCACACGTTGTGCTTCACACAGTCCCACTCAGGTTCTGCCAGCGTCTCGTGGCAGCCAGCTGGAGTTCCAGCTGTCACTAGTGTAATGCCACAGGGAGATCACCTCTGGGTTTCCACTCAAGATAGGAGTTCAGTCGTTGTTCTTACACTGCTATGTTATATGGAGACAAGTGTACTTGGATGTGAAAAATAGCCCAGCTCTATATAAGAATGATTAAATGAAGAGACAAGAAAGCTTTGTGGCTTCTATACCAGTGAAGGGGTTGGAAGTAGCAGCAGATGTTGCATTTGAGCACTGAGCATTATCTGGAGGGTGCTCAGCACCCTCTGAGTTTCTATTGGCTGCACTGGAAAATGGATAAGGCTCAGCAAATCCCAGGAAAGCAATTTGCTTGGGATCAGCTCCAAGAGAGCAGCCTGGTGTCACTTTGTGCTGCCTCCATGCTTGCTTTCACCCTGAGCTAGGACTTACAATTGCCCCCAGGTTAAGGCTGAAGTCCCCCTGCCCATCTTATATCTCCAGAAAACCTCCTGCACTGGGGCTCCCAGTGGTGTCCCCCCAAGCTCCATGGGAAGGACCAACCCACCCCCGTCCTGTCCCTCACTGTGGCACTTTACAGCTTGCTTGAGACAGCGAGCTCTGAGAAATGTGACCAAAGATCTCTGGAAAGTGTTGGACTGTGTGCTTGGAGCTGATTCCCAGCCTTCCCAGGAAGGAAGAGACTGATGTGGGCTGAGGGAGGGGACAGGGTAGAAAGGAGGGTACTTTTCACAGTTCCAGGATGTCCCCAGCTGGTGATGCCAGTGTCCTCCTTGGTGCCAAGTATCTCCATGTGTCACCCAGGGTGAGTAGGGACCCAGCAGGCAGGATGGATCTGATTCCCCTTTTTTCTTGAGCAGTAACGAGTTCATCTGTAAGGATGCACACCAAGCCATTACACTTGTCTTCAGAGCCACAGGTCTGTAGTTTAGCAGTCAAAGGCCTGTTCTGGTTCAATGTGAATAGGCCAGGAAAATGTGAGAGCCAGTGGTCCTTCTGACTGTCCCCTTGTCCCCTCCCCAGATCACCACTGAGCATCCTCAGCCTCTGCCGTATGCCCCTGCACTATGCTTCTGCCCAGTGGCTGTGCTGAGCTCTGCTCCATTTCTGGCAGGAATAACAGCCTGCTGATGGGCAGTGGCAGCCCTCACTTCTGTCTGGGAGCATGTCCTGCTTGCTGTTACTATAACCCAATCTTTCAGTCAAAGCCTTAAAGGGCACTTCACAGAGTTACCTTTCACCAAGATCCCTCATTCAAGATCTGCTCACAATGTTGCCTGTGTCCTGCTGCCCCTCTGCATCAGCTCTCCAGACTCTCCTGCCTGATTTCAGTTCATTGATGTAACACTGTCCCAGGAACACTCATTGCCTTTCCCAGTGCTCTCCCAGACACTTCCATTAACAAGCAGGAGCTTACACTGAGAGCGGCTTGCCCTGACCCTGCCCTTAGAGGACCTTCCTAGACTACTGATCCTCACATCTCTCCATCATTCCCATGTCAGCTACATCAGCCCTGTTTTAATTCCATGAGAGATCTTGCTTCTTGCTGAAGGACATCTCCGTGGCCTTTAATCCTTTGAGATCACTTCACGGGACTTCAAACCATCACAATACTAAACCCAGCCAGCACTGAGGCTTCCCCAGTCCTTCCACCCTTTGCAAAGGCAGGGGTGTAAGGGACATAAAAGTAACCTTGATCACACAGCTCCCGTGCCACTGGGTCCCCATGGGGGCAATGAGGCACTGGGATCACATCCAGCAGTTTTCAGATGTCAGCTTCCCAATCAGATGTTCCACATTGGTAGCACAACTGTCAGCAAAACAGAAATGAGCCTGTGCACTTTCAGGATAAGCCTCTTCCCAGTTTCTCTCCATGAAGGGGGATTGCATCAGATCTGGATCCTGGGACAACCTCTGACACGTATGGTTGTGTTTTCAGGGCTCCTCTACAGATGTCTTTTCTAAGCAGAAAGTCTCTGCTTTCTGTCACAAAGCAATAGGTTTTTCTGGGGAGGTTTAAAAAGGACTCTTCCCAACTCTGATACTTGCAGGCAATCCAGTGTTCTCTTGAATACCATCATAACTCCAGTTCTGGGCTCTCCTTCAAAAAGCGATGTGAGGCCAGGTCTGGCTCCATGTAAGGAATGTGAAAAATGTACGAGCCTGGTGGTCCCCATTCCTTCAGAGAGCCCACGTCCAGCAGGCAATCAGTGTGGGTCCCTGGGATGTGTGGACCATCCTCCTTTGGTGCCCATCCCGTGACTGTTACTGGGTGCCTGCAGCCAGTCAGCTCACTGCAGATCACTGACATGGGAGCCGCTGGGTCCCCAGAGGTGTCTGAACCCAAAAGTCATATTTGATGACAGCCACGCACCAATGGGAAACAAGGCTTTCCCATTCCTGGGAGCCAGGCTGTCCTAGGAACTCGCTCAGAGATGAAGATGCCCATGGTGGCACGCAGGTTCCCTTCCAGTAGCCGAAGGGAGCAAACATGTCCAGGTAGAGCTCAGACACCGGTGCAAAAACGCACTGCCGCCGGTGCCAAAATGCTGCACAACTGGCCAATGAGTCTATGCAGTCCTTTCCCACACAGCAGTGTCCCTGCAGAGCCCAGCCCAAGGAGGCTGGGTCTCCTCCGAGGTGTCTTTGTTTGCACTCATGTGGACCCGATAAATGCTGTGAGCTGAGAGGTGGCCCTTCAGGACTCACTCTCAGCCTTCACCTTGCACAGGGCAGTGCGGTTGCGAGGGTTTCCTCATCCACAATAGATGCACATTCTTAGTCACCGGTTTCTGTGTCTCTTCTCCAGGTAGAATAGGCCCCTAAAACCCAGCTCCCCAGTAGTGGGATGTCAGGTTGGGCAAGCCTGTACCCCAAGCAAGCCTGTTGTCTGATCTCACCAGCAATAAAAGCCCCGTGGGAGAGCAGCCAGAGCTTTCCAGGCTGTGTGTGTGTGTGTAGGATCTCTGCATCAGACCCTTTGTCCAATGTTTTGGACCTGCCTGACTGTAAATTCAACCCCAGCCTTGTGCTTCCCCTCCTCTGTTTGTTTCTTGAAGCCTCGATCTCTCTCTGCTCTTACTGTGAATTCAAACCAGAAGTGTTCTGAACTCGACTCTGTTACTGTTTGTTCTGCGTTGACTGTTGCTGGTTCTCTGAACTGCGTTTAACGAGACTTTGCAAAAAAAAAAAAAAAAAAAAAAAAAAAAAAA